GGCCCTTTACGCCACATCGGTGGTGCGCCCCGCGCTTTGTAGCCGTGCCGCGCCGTGCGCGGGGGTCCCCATCTTCAGGCACCGTCCTGTCAGGCGTGCGCCCGCCGCTGCCGCCGCGCTGTGCAGGCACGCGTGCTCTCCGCGCAGCCTTGCGCTGCGCCGGTGTGTGTACGCGGTGCACCTGTGCCGCGCACAGACGTGCTCGCTTTCCGTAAAACGCTCGTCTGCGGTGCGCGCGTGCCTGCGTGTTCTTCCACACACCGTTGTGTTGTGGAATACCCGCTGGTCTCCTCCTCTGCGTACACCTACTTCTGAGCACACGGGCAGCTGAGCTGCACTTGCTTGTATACTTGGAGAAAGCCAAATTCCCTTCACTTCTGCATTCCTTCCCTCTGCCCTTTCTAACTCCCCAACCCAGACGAACAGATTACCTTCATCATGTATGTTTCAATACATAGCTGACCTATATAATGAAGGCTATGTATTCCTTGTGTCTTAAAATAACCCTCTGAAATTACCAAGAGCTTTTAAGATGAGCAAAGAACCAAACTCGTGTACTTTGCTAGATAAAAGGAGCTGCTGTGGCTGACATTAAGGTATAGCTGTTGTTTCCTTAAGTTGTTGGACTCTGTTTTTCAGGTGTCTCAGCCCAGTCCTTCCTTCACTGCTTTACGCTGGCTAGCTCTGCTTTTAATCTGCAAGTCGCAACTCCTGGGGTAAGTAAAAATGAGCAGCTACTGTGATTTCAGTTTGAAACCAATCGATATCTCGGTTGACAAGAGAGAATTATACTAAACTTTGTTTTAGAGGTGTTTTATTGGCTTTATGGATTAAGGGACTTTTTTTTTTAATTCTGTTTTCGTAATATTGAACTGAGTGCATGCTTCCTGTAGTATGGTTCTGAATTTCTCCGTCCAGTATCTGTTACCCACAAAGAGTGGAGGGAGGACTATTAGAAGAACTAATTCAGTGGGAAAATTGGAAAACTTTAAGCTTTTGAGAGCAAAAGTCTCTCAAAATCCCACATAGTTGTCCTTCAAGAAATGTAGCGGATGTTTGTGCAGTGATCCTAACCACAGTCTTTGAACGATGTTTTCTCTAGGGGAAGTCAATTGATTTTGTGGATGTGAATGAGAGCAATATACGCTGGATACAGGACTTTCGTATGAAATCGTATGCGAACCCTGCGAAGTTGGAGTCAATTGATGGTAAGGGCTTTACTGTTGGCCAATGTGTCATCTGCTTTTATTGGGGAAACAGATGCTTCTTAGTGTTAGGTCTTTAGGGAAGAATGACACAGAAAAGGCATAAAACTTGTGTTTTAAGAGGAAGTCCTGGCAGCTACAGTTGTTATTTTCTTGTTTGTCTTGGATTGGTAATTCTCTCTTACTTTATGTTTATATACACAATATATTTTCTCCTGTATGTATATACATACACACCTGCTATATGTTGTTATTTTAAAAAAATAAATATTTTGCTTAACTAGAAGCTAGCAGTCATAGTGGTTTTAAGCTTTGCTTGGGTAAGAATGTGTCATTAAAAATGTATGTTCTTTGTCCTAAAAGGACTTTTTTCTCTACTCCATATAGATCTATTAGCTTCTTTAGTTCATTTGGTTTATACAGATTTTGACTGGCTTATGTGGTATTGTCTTAATTTTGTTAAATCTGAAATGCTTTTATAATCAGGCTCTTTTGTATGCTACTTTTATCCTTTCCTCCTTACTAGGTGCTAGATACCATGCATTGCTGGTTCCAAACTGTCCTGGGGCTATGACCGACCTCGCAAACAGCGGGTACCTGGCTAAGATATTGCAGCACTTCAGCACTGAGAACAGTAGGTGAACATCATTAGATATATTGTTAAATAAAATAGTACTACGTTACTCTCTGTGTCAGACTGTTACCTTCCAATGACTTCAAAATGTTTACGTAGTAGAAGAGCATTTAGAACTGGAAAGAGCTACTTTCTCCAGTCCTCTTTTTGTAAGTATATATATTTAAAAAAATCAGTAGCTTTGCAATGCTTGTCAAAAGAGTGGTCTCTGCCTTACAGTGGTACAGAAATGGCTCTCTCCAAGTCAGTAGGATTCAAGGGTGAGAGCCAAATGTGGAATGTACCGGGATCATTGTTAAGGCTGTACTTAATCAAGACTTGTGTGTGCTTCTTCTCATTTACCATTTGAGTATGTGTTTTTTCTCTTTGACTGGTGTTGTACCTGGACTTGGAGTTAACAGCTACTAACTGTTTGCAAGACTGAGGCAATTCCTATTGTAGTGTGCAGGAAAAGCCTTGCAGCCTAAGTATAAACAATGCAGTATAATTTCATTTCAGGAAGGCAATGTGCTGTAACATGGAGAATCTTACGAACGCTCATCTGTGTTTTGGCAATTTGAAGATGCTCATAACGGCTCAAATATGCTTTTATTATTCTCCAGAGCCTATCTGTGCGATTGGACATGGGGTTGCGGCTTTGTGTTGTGCCACTAATGAGGATAAATCCTGGGTATTTGAGGGATACAGCCTGACAGGGGTAGGTTGAGCTTTCACCTGACTTGCTGTTTGGTGGCTTTTTTTACTGTGCTTGTGATTTTAGGTGATGGTGCTGGTGTTCCTGGTCTTATCCTGGAACTTGAGACAAATATAAATCGGTTTGGTACCCTTAGCTTATTGCAAGATGTCGAGAGTTGTCTTTGGCAAGGGGGCCCAACACTGAGTACATAAAGGGATTGTCTTTCTTAACTGTCACATGGAGAGTGTTTTCTTTCTGATTGTTCAGTAAACTTTAAGCTGAAGCACTAAAATACTGGAGATGACTGCTACAGCTCTTTGGATTCAGAGCTTAGGGCTATTAAGAATTACTTTTGTTTGTTTCATGAATGCTGGAGGAGGTAAGTTATGTTTCTCAAGGTGCTGTTTCATTTTAAAAGATAGAGAAAGTTTTAGGAAGGCTGTACAAACTGGCTTGTAATTCAAAACGTAGTCAGATACTGTTGATGTTTTATTTAATGTACAGTCATATCTCTGACCTCACAGACTATTTATGTGGCAGTTGTACCTGTGTACCTGATGCAAATCTCTATAGTACAACTTCTGGGGTTGAAAATCTATATGCAAACAGATGAAATTAAGTTTATGGGACTCACAAAAGCTATCAGTGTCCTAATGTGCTTGTATTTGGCATTACAATCCATGATAAAATTTTTAAATAAAGCATGATGTAGCCTAGCTACAGTTGCTATGGAAACCATAAAATTCAATTTCCTCCTGTGTATATAAAAAATGAACTAAGTACTCTTAATTTTTCTCTCTTCATTTAAGCTGTTTCCCATATTCATTCCAACACAAAATACTGTTATTTGAACTCTGCAAGTGGTACAACATTTGTGTCCAAATGTTTTGTGTCTAACAGCCAAACAGGTCTGTTCTTTCATGACGTTAATTGCATCCGAACTGTTCAGTGACCACTTGATGTTGCAGAAATTGCTTGGTGTCATTCTTTCTTTGTCTCACTTAAGAATTTTCGGTTTACTCCCTATGGAATATCCATAGAAGCTGCTTGTGGTCATTTGGTTTTATGCTTCGTTTCCGTTTCATTTCCTATGTATAGTTGGGAGAATTGTAGGTGGAACAGAAAAATTAATTGCAGGGGAAAGTATGTGTTAGTTTTGATTTATTTTTTTTTTATAAAAAGTAAGACAGACTTCCTTTTGATCTTTTTCAGCCCTCTGTGTATGAACTAGTAAGGCAGCCTAATTTTGCCAGTTTGTCCATTATTGTGGAAGATTTTGTGAAAGACTCTGGAGCTACATTTAGTGGTATGTCACTCTGTTGTTGTCTGGGGTTCATGTTTTGTGGCTGTGTTCTGGAAATGAATGTGTTTGTGCCACAGTTTTACACAGCTGACAGGCACTCTGACTGGATATCTCATCTTGCATTCCTATTTCGTGGATATAAACAAATACCCTAGTGTGTTAGAAACAAAATGAGTTTTTTAAGAATAAGTGCCGCGAAATACTGTGCATGGAGAAGTAGGTCAGTACAGTACACTGATCTCCATGGTTGTCCACATGTGCTCTTTTACCCTATGGTAAAAGACCCAGGTTGCTTGTCCTGTGAAGGAAGAACATGTACTGCAGGGAAGGGTGTGGGCAGGAGAGTTGCCATTGACCTGCAGATGCATAGTCCATACGTGCAGGGGAATGTCTGTAACTAGGTAGTGTGCTGCAGTGGCTTCCTTGCTGCATGGCAGGGAGGTTAAGTTCCAGATTTTGGGTTTGTCTTTTATTCAAGCAAATGCTTCATTATTTAAAGCTGGAGACACTGGGCTGAATGTTTTTGATTGCTCTGATTAGTTGCCTTTTATGGTCAAGTATTTTACTCCTATCTAGATCTGGTTTTGTACTATCTTTTTGTTACTTGTACTTTAGTTAATTATTATTAGTCAAAATGTAGAAGTTTGACTTTTGAACTGCAAAATCTGAAGTTCTGTCCTGTGTGAGAAACTAAAACCATTAAAGCACAAAAACGTCACTCTTTTTCCTAGACAGACTAGGTGTGTGGGAAAAATGTCATTTTCCTTTTACATGCTGCTTTCTTGCAATACTGGAGAGCTACAGGGGGAATTAAATAATAAGCTATAAATTATTCTCTTCAGTTGCAGCTGTCATTCAGTCTGCCGTTAGGTTTGGTAATTTTTTAAAAATCTATCTTTAAAGAGAACAATGAGATGTCCATGATATTTAAGTCATCTTTTGTTTAACAGAGTAGTACCACCCATTGAACTGACATAATTTGAAGTGTCTAGATTAGAGATTGCACGCATGACATGGATAAGAAGTAGAAGCAGGCTCCTAATGCCATGCATTTATTCTTCACTAAGAAGAAATGCCACTGTCTTACCAAATTGCTGTATATTCTTTGTTTAATCCTATTCCATCCATGCTGCTGTCACTCTGTGTGTTTAAATGGCATATTTTTGTTTTTTGAATGAGCTGCTGCCACCACCTTCTGCATAATGGGTTCAGTATTGACAGTTTAGAAGCTGGTGTGTCAGTGGTACCTGTTATGTCATGTATGCTTGGTTGCAGTGGTGCTGCCAAATTAAGTAGGAAAAGGAAAAGTGTGTATGGTTTGAAAGTGTTTAGCCCTCTGTATTTAGACAGACAGTGGCTGGGAGAGGGAGAAGAAAAGTTGTTCATTACTGACAAAAATAACGTTTCTATCTGGAATGAAGTAACTTAAAAATACTGGTTGGAGTACTGAACAATTGCTGGCAGATATTAACTCATCAAGCTATCATAACTGGCCAGAAAATAAGTATTTTTCCTGCAGGTTCTTTGTAGCATGGTGATTACAACTTTGATGTCTTACATAAGAAGAGTTTATACTGTATTACGGGGTAATTACAACTTTAAAATATATGCTTTGGGGTTTTTATTATGAAAATCTCTTGATACATGCACTTTACCTATCTGGTGTTAATTGAATCAAGGGACCAGTCCTCTTGTCATTTCAGAGAAGGAATTTGTAGTTAAATTGTTTCAGCACTGGGGGCTCGAGATTGCCTGTGTCTGTTGGGGTTGTAGATCAATATGTCAGTCACCCAGCAAATCTGTCTGGTCAAAATAGTTATCTTCTGCTTTAGTTCTGTCAGAGATGTGATAGTGAAACTGAAGCAGTGTTCACTAACACAATGCTTGTTGCTTTTTCTTCTGTATTTAGCCAGCAGTCCGGATGCTGTACATGTTGTGCTGGACAGGCACCTGGTGACAGGACAGAATGAGAATTCCACTCTTCCAGCAGTCCAGAATCTTCTTATTCTTTGCAATGTCAGGTGAGGCATCTTTTAGTTTCAGGAATATTGTCCCCTGCATTATTTTTTTTGCCTAGGTTAAGTGCTGAAGTGTGTGTTGTCTTTGTTTGATCTAGTTGTTCAGTCAGTTATGTCTCTTTGTAAAAAGTGTTTGTGATTACTAAAAAAAATAAGGTAAAATGGGTTGGGAAATGCACAGCTGTCTGTCAGGACTGGTAAAATAAAATGCAGAATAGGCTTCACTAAGCATTTCTGTTAAGAGAAGTCTCTCTTGTGTGTTGTTGCTTTGGTAAGTTATCATTTAGTCAGCAGCTGTGTTCTAGGATTCTGGGAATGGATAGATTTCTTTGGTAATGGCCTGGCTGTTTGATTGTCTTTCATCTTGTCAGATAGAACACATGTAAATAACCACAAAAATCTTCTTTTGTTCAGGTGAATGTGTGTTAGAAGACCTTTCCTGGCTGTGGACTAACAGATCGTGTCGTGTTTGGATGTGTTTCAT